GTGGTCAGATGAGTCACGATTTGAAGTTCTTTATGGAACACTGGGACACCATGTCATCCGGACCAGGGAGGACAAGGATAGCCCAAGTTGTTATCAACGCTCCGTTCAGAAGCCTGCATCACTGATGCTATGGGGTTGCATGAGTGCTTGTGGCATGGGCAGCTTGCATGTCTGGAAAGGCACCATTAATGCAGAGAACTATGTTCAGGTTCTAGAACAACATATGCTCCCATCTAGACGTCATCTCTTTCAGGGAAGACCCTGCATTTTCCAACACGATAATGCCAGACCACATTCTGCAGCAATCACAACATCATGGCTACGTAGGAGAAGGATCCGGGTACTGAAATGGCCAGCCTGCAGTCCAGATCTTTCACCTATAGAGAACATTTGGCGCATCATAAAGAGGAAGGTGCGACAAAGAAGGCCCAAGATGATTGAACAGTTAGAGGCCTGTATTAGACATGAATGGGAGAGCATTCCTATTTCTAAACTTGAGAAACTGGTCTCCTCTGTCCCCAGACGTCTGTTGAGTGTTGTAAGAAGAAGGGGGGATGCCACACAGTGGTAAAAATGGACTTGTCCCAACTTTTTTTGGGATTTGTTGACGCCATGAAATTTGGAAACAACAGATTTTTCTCTTAAAATGATACATTCTCTCAGTTTAAACATTTGATCTGTGATTTGTGTTTTATTCTGAATAAAATATTAGATGTTGGCACCTCCACATCATTGCATTCAGTTTTTATTCACAATTTGTTTAGTGTCCCAACTTTTTGGAATCTGGTTCGTACAAAAAAGAGCTATAAGAATTATTAGTAGGAAGTGCAATGGTCGCCCAACAAATATATTATTTCATCAGGTGACATTATTAAAATTTAATGATTTGGTTGAATATAATATTTTAAAAGTCATGTAAAAAGCTAATAAAAAATTACCCCTTAATATTCAGTTAAAATGTGTTTAAAAAAGAGAGTCATTATAACCTTAAGAGAATGGAAATGTTTGTAAAAGCTCCATTTAGAACTAGTGTGAAGGAGCTGTGTTGTAATTCAGGGAACAGGATTGTGGAGCTGTCTTGATTTTATTTTATTATCTTCTAAACTTATAAAACAATTTATATGTTTAAAAAGATGATTAAGTTAAAGTTGTTGGGAAGGTGCCAGGTGAAGGATACCTGATGTTTTTGTTATCATTTTGGAGTTTGTTCAAGCGTAGGTTGTTGTTTGTAGTTCATCCATCCATCCATTATTTTTACCAGCTTATTCCATTTTGGGTCACGGGGGTCGCTGGTGCCCATGTCCAGCAATCACTGTGCGAGGGGCGGGGGACACCCTGGACAGGTCTCCAGTCCATCACAGGGCCACATAGAGACAAACGAGACAAACAACCATTCACTCTCTCACTCACACCTAGGGACAATTTAGAGTTACCAATCAGCCTAACATGCATGTTTTTGGTCTGTGGGAGGAAACTGGAGTAGCCGGAGAAAACCCACGCATGCACGGAGAGAACATGCAAACTCCACCCAGAAAGGACCCTGGACCGGGGTTTGAACCAGGGACCTGCTCGCTGAGAGGCAGCAGCTCTACCAGTTGCGCCACCGTGCTGCCCGTTGTTTGTAGTTATTTGTTTAAAACGATATTATAAGAATTTTTTCTTTTTTCTGCACCCTTTTCGTTCAATGTTTTTTTTCTCTTTAATGAATCTGTTTTGTTTACTTTAAATGAATTAATAAATTAATACAAAAACAGTGGACAATCATAAAAGGCAAACAAATTAAGAAGAACAAATAAAATTATATAAAAAGACAAAACAAAAACTGGTTGTAAAACGATCTAGACTTTGATATTCATTTTCTATTAACCTGCCATTGTGTATCTGTTCTTACCAAACCCAACCGGTCAAAGCAGATGGCCACTTGTCCTGAGCCTGGTTCTGCTAAAGGTTTCTTCCTCATGAGTTTTTCCTTTCCACTGTCACCTTCATGCTTGCTCAACATGAGAGTTCTGTGATGGAGTTAAATTCAAAGCAGTCTGCTCTTCACATAAATAGTGTTAAATTATTATTTTTAAATATGAACGCTTCTGTTCAGTGCCCTGAGACGACTTCTGTTGTGACTTGGCGCTTTGTAAATAAACTGAATTTATTTATTAACCTTTATTTAACCAGACAAATCCCACTGAGATCACAGATCTCTTTTGCAAGAGAGGCCTGGGTCTGAAGGCAGACTAACATACATGTTTTTAGTGTTTGGGAGGAAACTGGAGGACCTGGAGGAAACC